CAGGTTCTAATGGGTATTGGATTGGAATTTATTTTATTGTGAAGGGGGTGTCATCAGGGAGCTATCGGGTTCGAGTGGTTGTTGTAAATATTTCGATCCTACCTGAGCTAGATTCTGTTCCGCTATATATGTTTGAATAAGCCGTGATAGAGGACCTGTTCGCTTTTGTAAGCTCGGTTTTGATTGGTTGTATGTCAAAAGTAGGGGGTGTTTTCTATGAGTTGGTTCGAGTGAATTTTCGATCCTACCTGAGCCGAACTGTGTGTCCAAAAAGTTTGTTATGGTTGATGATGGGAGGAGATGTGTTTGTACGTTTTTGTGGGTGTGTTTGTGAGAATGTGTGTATAGTTGTACAAGGAAACAGAGTAGAATTGTTCAAACTAACAAAAATAAAGCAGCAGGTATACCACCAGGCCTCCCCCGGGGGGGCGCAACTGCCAACTAGATGTCATATGTCATTTCTATCTGAATCCTTTTTATAGCCGTTGAAGCATTACTTATGTTTAAATGTTATACTTATTTATGGGAAAACCCAGTTTATCTATGTGCATTATGATGTAGATCTTTACAAGTAATTTATAGGAAAGTAGATCTTTCGCTCTGAAATATCAGTTTAATGTTATATGTTATGTTAGCTATTTAATATAATTTAAATAGCATGATTGTAATAATAATTCTTACGAAGTTGATATCTAGGTAAAATGTAATTAAATGTGTCCATTTATAGTTTATATTCGTGTTAAATGTAACTAGTGATATCTACGAGTTACCTCCCTTTCTTATAACCTATATGTGTAATGTCTATACGCTCCCAGTAATTGTAGTCTTTTAATTTGTGTTTGTTACAGAGTGTAGGTGTTTTAAACCTATGTTGAATAAAGAATTCACGACAAATAACGACTTGGTGGTCAATTTGAATACCCGGTTACATGTACCTTATTAAATGTCATAAGAGGAGAGGATACTTAGAAATTAAAAATAGAACTGCTGACTTCATTGCCACACTTCGGAATTATTCTTCCCATTCTCACTTTCCTACCCTTTCCATTTTCGTTGGTGTCTCCGTAGGCATCAGTCATCATTTGACCGTCGCTCTTGAGAGGATGTTAAACCCCAAACATCAGTATGATGTGACCGGGTGGAATGCTGAGCTGGGTACGGTGCTTTCGGCAGGGTATTTCAGTGAGATAGCACAAGGAGGCAAGTTCACCAACATACCCTGTTTCCGGCACACAAACACACATGCACGCTTACACAAAACACATAGAGGCACGTCTTTAAATGGCCTTGGCTGTTATTAGGACGTTAAACAAAATAAGATAAACAAACATAAACCCCAGACAAACAAAACATGTTGTATGTCGGTGGTGTACACAGTCAGAAATTACCTTTTTGTTGTTGCTTAAAAAATCAGAATTTACAGGTGGTTTATTTGTTGCGTTAACAACCAATGGTGCAAATGTACATGTGATATGCCCATGGCATTCTAAATAAGAACTTACCTGAGGTATACCGGTGGAGTATACGGTCTCCCAGTCGTTGCTGGCTATTGCCATATCGGATTGCAGTGCCCCTTGGATGTACACTAGCTGACACTCTAGTGCATCCTTATTGTAGTTCACAGCCGTACAAAAGGAAAACATCAAACATTCCTTCAAACAAAGTACAGCGGCAAACACACCCGAGATTACATGTTTACAGTTGCCATAGCATTCCAGTCTGTTTCCATGGAGATATGAATCCAACGTTGATATATCTAGACACTGTGATGTCACAACTACAGCTAGAGTAGACATCAATGCGATAACGATACACTGGAAATATTTACCGAATCTTAAAAACTGCATCTTGTTATCACTGTTGACCACTGTTGATAACAATATAACGCGCGTGCTCGATCAACAACTATCCTCGTCAGTGAATATCAACATAGGATGTGTGTATAACGATACTTTGATAAATACTTTAATATTTATGATATACCTTTGAGTACTCCCTTGAAACTCATAGCTAACAGATAACTATAATTAAATTTGCATTCATATTACGATTGTACTTTAAGAGCATCTCTTTATCAGACGTACTCATGAGTTCCATTAGAGAGATCCGGGTTCCATCAGATAAGCATGTATATTTGATTCAATATCCATTATCGGGTTTCAACAACTAAATTTACCTTTGTGTTGCAGTCCCTCTAGATATGATTCAATAACAACAATTTAGTAGTAATGTTAACAGAACTATATGTACCGTTTTATGACCTCTGACCTCACTATGGAAACACAAGTCCCACCCCTACTCACTCACCAAATGTCAACTGATCAACAGTTTAAAAAAGTATAGTTTTTTTTTAATCTGTATTAACAACTATAAATTAATCAACAATAAATCGTTGTTTAATTTAAAAAATAATACACAGCACACTGTCTCCGTGCCACGGCAATACAGGCGGTGAGCATTTGAATGACTGGATTTGAATCAAGTCACATCATGTTAATATAGAGCCACCGAATTGAGTCTGCTATAAGATCCTATAACAGGTCCTCTCCATTGACAATGCCTCAATTTTGGCCTTTAGTTGAGCGTTCTAATGTTAAGGAAATATAGTTTGAAACATGAGCTTATAGATGTGTCTAGAATATAGACACATACTTAAGAAATCAAGTATATATGTTTAAACACGAAACCGTATATATTATTAAGTCATTCCTCAATTTACACCAACCACGATTGTTACCGCACAACGCGCACAAGTAATAATCGTCCAGATTTGCATCGTTCACACATCGTGTAACGTTGTGCGATCCCACAACTGTACATACAACACACGTACAGTTATTCTCTCATTAAATACAGCAGAGTCTCAATCCAGTAATTCATATGTGCAGTAGGTTTCAAGTTTCAGGTTTTATTATATTCAAATGCAATACAGCATATAGGTAACAAACACATAATTAAATATTCAAAATTCACATGTGATGTACAAGATGGCGGAGTCCAATTCCATTCAAGTATATATATGCATACAGACATGTAATAATGATATCACTTGCAGTTTTACAGCATGATTTTTCGTAAAGTTGTGAGAAGGACAGTATATAACATTTTATTATATGCATGAACGTTTCTCGCAATCACATTGGTCGGATCCTATACACGTGACCCGTCCTCAAAAACTCATGTAGACTGGTTATCCGGTGAATATAGATTTCTAAATATAGCCTGTATGGAAAAACCCCGGAACCTGTCGTAGCGCGTGCGCAATTAGACTGGAACGCGATCTGTCAGACGACATTAGAAGATGGCTGCTGGCGATCGTTTCTCCTCCGTGAATTACCCAAACTATTCGAGGATAAAGATGCTGTTAACATAAAAAAAAGGCCATTAAACAAGCAGTTCATGTCCTCAATGCTTATCTTAAGAAAAAGAATCTAGACGATACCTTCGAAAGCTACAATGATGAACAGTTGTATTCAAACCTGGCTAAATTTTACACGGAGGCTCGCGTACAAAAATCAGAACCTTTAGTTTTGTTTTGTTTTATTTTATTGTTGAAGCATATAATAAAACAGTTATGGGCTTTTGTGCTGGTAAATATGATGTGATATGAACCTGAAAGAGTGATATTAACCTCGGCTTCGCCTCAGTTAATATCACTCTTTCAGGCTCATATCACATCATATTCACCAGCACAAAAGTCCATAGTTGTATAATAATCATATGTGTGACGTTACTACCTGTATATATGTGACGTCATAAAAGGATGAAATCATAATGAAAACACTACATATAACTTAAAACAGCCAGAAAGAACCATGGGATGTCATCAAAGTACTAATTAACGCGCTATTAACGAGCCTTAAATAACTATTATTATACATGAACACTTATAACAAAGTAGTTTCAAATAATGTTTTAATATAATATCACAACTGAGCGATGAGAATTTTCCTTTTAGCAGTAGCGTGCCACAAATATTTACCCAGTCTATTTAAAGATTTAACACTTTTACAGGTAAATAATTCTATTAGTTTATAGACACTTGGATGTCGATAATAATACTGTTTGATGTATCATTTTTTTTTAGATCAGAATATGCAGGACAAAGTAGTACAAAATGTACTTCATCTTCGATATCATTTTTATCAGTAAGAGAAGATATTGACCAAAAACCGGATCTATCATTAGGCATCAGATCAGTTTATACTTTTACACTCCGATTTACAATTCAGATTGAAATACTTGATTTACTTACATTTCCAAAATAAATGGTTTTCTATGTCATGTAAAAATTAAAACATCTGTTCTTTTACCACAAATATCTAAAAATGACCTACCACCTGTCTGTCCCTGCATGTAGGGCGTAAGAATTGTACCTGCTGCCCCCATTGCATGATCGTAAGAGGCGACTAAATTTGGGATCTTATCTTTTCTCTTTTATTAAAACAACTTTCTTCTTCCTAATGTTTTCCTTGACAATGCCTCACTTTTAGCCTTTAGTAAAGCGTTCGCCCCTGTGAGGAAGACTTTGGGTTCTGTCCCCTGGCCTAGACATACCAGAGTCTTTGAAAATGGTAGTTTCTACTCCTCCTTAAAGCTCAGCAATTTATGAGTGGGACGACCGGTTCGCCCGTTGTCAATATATTGTGACCGGGTGGGTGTCCTGCTGGGTGTCTTCGGCAGTATGTTTCAGTGAGGTAGCACTATAAAGTCGGCATCAGTTCCGCGCTATCAAAAGGAGACAAACACGCATCCCTGAAATTTCATAATGGACTATTCCAACCTTTGAATTGAAAGAGTTCCAATGTGTCTTCAGGGGTGAATGAGTTAACATATTAGTATTAGTTTTGATATGACTAAATGACTATACAGACATTTCCTAGGTTCACACCGATATAAAGTGACCAGCACGCCTATATCTGAACATTCCCCACGGACAAATAATTGTGAAATAACATTAAAATATGTATCTGGATATTTCGCGCTGACGTAGCGGTGTGATTTTAGCCTAAACTCGCTGTTTTCACACACTCAGTTTCGCTGGAATGTAGCCTGTTGATGTCTGTGGGTCAAACAATGACACAACACAAGGCTTTTCATAGGGACAGTCAAGTGGACCGAACTATTTCACGCCAAGTATGTATTTAGTCACCCGACGACTACGTGACACAGAAAGAAAAATAATTTCACCGACATTCAGTTTTTAAAATTCTAGAAAAAAAAATAAAAAATTCAGGGAAATTATGTAACCTAGATTTTCACCAGGACATAAGCCTGAAGGGCGTTTCCTGTTTATCTTATGTCTTTTCCGGTTAAATGCTTAAACTTGTAGTGTCAACACTTGTATCTACTCTAAGGACGGTAACGAACGTCGATGAAATAAAAAAAAAAAATGCAGTCTCCAATTACCACGACTGCAAAAAGGCTATACCTTACAAAACAAGTTATCTCAACTTACACATGTATGAATCGCTCTTACTTGCACGGATGCTAGCGCGGGGGATGGGGAGGGGAGGTCATAATATGTAAGTAAACCGGAGTACCCGAAGAAAATCCATGTAGATGGGCAGGTGACCTTATACCTTTTCACGTCTAATCGCCTTGATGAAAGGAGAGTGCGTTGTCCACTGCGCCACCCGACCTCTCTTAAAATTGACCAAAACGAATCTGCTGCACCTATTGCAAAATTTGGGATCTTTATATTTCTCTCTACTTCTAACTACCCTTTATTTCCAAGGGCCTTGCAACACCAACATATCACAGCCTCCTAAAACACACTCGCATACACTACACGCCTGCATCTTGCACACAGGGAAGGCCATCCTTAAATGACCATAGCTGTTGATAGGACGTTAAACAATACTAAACCAAACCAATCTAAGGGCCTTGCTTGGCAGAACCTCACTTTGGCCTTAGTGTTGAACACTTGCCCCAGCGAGGAAAACAATGGTAATTATTATTTCCTGACTTACGTTCAGCGTTGCGGACTATGGCAACAAGTGGTTAATCCGTTGTTAGTATAATGTGACCGGGTGGAATATTGTGTTGGGTGCAAATGACATGACATTTCAGCTAGGCATAGTTCCCAAGTCGGCATCAGATCCGCGCTGTCGCAATTACCACCAACATACCCTATCTCCAGACACATGCACTAAACACCGGAATGCACTTAATGACCTTTGCTGTTAATAGGACGTTTAAACCAATAAAACTAAACCACCTTGATATTGACCCTATTATATTGTTCAACATTGCACATTTGCATGTAAGTACATTTGAAATAATACATCGTGACCGCGAAATCCATGTAATGCCCGGTAGAGATTTCGATGTGAATAATTTACTCAAATATTTAAGACTCTATGTAGGACAGAATTTTAACACGTACGTGACCACATTTACTTGTATCGTAGGTGTTGTCACAACACAATGTACCGTCAGTTCTCGCGAGACGTCCCAGTACATGACTTCGAGACTCCTTACTTACCACATAAACTACTACCAGCGTGCTCGGAGAACTAGTCATGCCCTTAAACATGTACAAATATGTCGGTCGACTTCCGGTATACGGCCTCTAGTCACTGATACAAGGGTTTATTACAAAGTGCCAGTAAACACAAGTAGTTGTACTCGTGGTCAGGGTGTGAGGAGCTGTATCATTTTTTAAGAAAGCGTTGTCTGAAAGATTTCAGAGAAGTTACGGATTACTTATCGCCGTGAGGTTAGTATTGTCGTAATGAGTCTGAGATGTACATTATATTGTGTCTAGTAAACACCTGTGTAATATTTAATATTAGATAACTCCTTTAATGTGTTTATGATTACAATACATCTCCAGCACACACGCAAGCATATTTCATAAAGAAATATATGATACAAGTGTTAAATTGGAACTTTAAGTTAATATCTCATTTTATTCATTATTTGGCGTATTTTAAAATACAAACTTTCAATTAATTTATTCCACCGAGTGACTTACATATAATCAGCAGGAACTATTTTGTGTTAATTGTTTGTATCATTTAGATAGGTTCTATTTACGAAGTTTTCCTTTGAAACTGAGGCATACACACGTAGGGAGATATTAGCCAGGTGGCATCGGACTATTAATCGGCTCATGATAAGGCAGCGTGTGCATATTCCTCAAAATTGATTTGATTAGTGCATTATTTATGGTATATGTTAATCGTATTGATTGTATCAATTGAATATCTATATACTGTAAAGCGCTTTAGAGTGGCTTATTTTATAGCTAGACACGGCGCTATATCAAAGGTTGTTTATTTTATTTTTTCAGTTTTATTTATTTATTATTTTCCGGATAAACCCCTTATGTATCTAAGTTTTGAGCGTATGTCTTTATTCTGAATAATGGCTATGTGTTACCATACAAAAAACATTAGTTGTTTCCTACCGACAGTTGATAATTTCCCTTTGGCTCAGTCTGAAGAGCGTCAGACGTCCCCAAGCAAAGTCATCGAAAAGTTATGACCTCTATTTCATATTAAAAGAGTGTGTCTTGATTCTGTTGATTGTTTAGTTTTATGCTTATATTGATTAGAGAGTTTGTCTTTAGTATATCAATCGTCTGTCTAAGTTGACTTACTGCGGCTGATACATACGATTCTTATTGTCTAAGAATCTAGTATGATAATATTAAACCATGATCAATATGTTAAACAAAACAAATGTTATTCATTTAATGGACATTATACATTTCCTGTTTTCAGAACAAAATGGATGTTGGATTCTTTAGGAACAGTGGCGATAACGTCAAGACAAAAGACAGCGACAGAAGCGCCACATGGTGCCATACGTACTCTGGAGGAATACTCTTCAGTAAACACTGTCTTCGTTACGGAGAGATTGTTAACGTGGAAATAACCGGAAATGGTCACGCCGCCATTGGATTTACCCAGCATGACCCGCGATATATCAGTTGCATTAAGGATGCAGTTTTGACTAATAAGGTCAAACTTCTGACCAATGTGCGCACGTTACAGAGAGCTGGTACGATCAAGCTATGCTCGTACGAGAGTCACGTGAGCATTACGTGCAATGGGTGTTCAGTAGAGAACGATCGAGACTACAGTGAGCCTGTCTGGCTTGTAATCAACCTTAAATTTGGCAACGTTCAGGCAAACATGTGTAAGTTTATTTTCTGTATGTTTTGATAGGGATTGCACCTTTAAAATTTGGTACTAGGGACAATTTGCCAAAACTGAGTACACTGAAACATACAGCTGTTTCGTTCTTCTAGGACTCGTCGGTTATGCAAGAGACTATTTGGCCGTCTGCCCATGTCTCCAGTCCATTACAATGTAGTCCCTATTTGGCCGTCTGCCCATGTCTCCAGTCCATTCCAATGTAGTCCCTATTTGGCCGTCTGCCCATGTCTCCGGTCCATTACATTGTAGTCCCTATTTGGCCGTCTGCCCATGTCTCCAGCCCATTACAATGTAGTCCCTATTTGGCCGTCTGCCCCTGTCTCCAGTCCATTACAATGTAGTCCCTATTTGGCTGTCTCCCCATGTCTCCAGTCCATTACAATGTAGTCCCTATGTGGCCGTCTGCCCATGTCTCCAGTTCATTACAATGTAGTCTCTATTTGACCGTCTGTCCATGTCTCCAGTCCATTACAATGTAGTCCCTATGTGGCCGTCTGCCCATGTCTCCAGTTCATTACAATGTAGTCTCTATTTGACCGTCTGTCCATGTCTCCAGTCCATTACAATGTAGTCCCTATTTGGCCTTCTGCCCATGTCTCCGGTCCATTACATTGTAGTCCCTATTTGGCCGTCTGCCCATGTCTCCAGTTCATTACAATGTAGTCTCTATTTGACCGTCTGTCCATGTCTCCAGTCCATTACAATGTAGTCCCTATTTGGCTGTCTGCCCATGTCTCCAGTCCATTACAATGTAGACCATATTTGGCCGTCTGCCCATGTCTCCAGTCCATTTCAATGTAGTCCCTATTTGGCCGTCTGCCCATGTCTCCAGTCTATTGCAATGTAGTCCCTATTTGGCCGTCTGCCCATGTCTCCAGCCCATTACAATGTAGTCCCTATTTGGCCGTCTGCCCATGTCTCCAGTTCATTACAATGTAGTCTCTATTTGACCGTCTGCCCATGTCTCCAGTCCATTACAATGTAGTCCCTATTTGGCCGTCTGCCCATGTCTCCAGTTCATTCCAATGTAGTCTCTATTTGACCGTCTGTCCATGTCTCCAGTCCATTACAATGTAGTCCCTATTCGGCCGTCTGCCCATGTCTCCAGTCCAGTACAATGTAGTCCCTATTTGGCCGTCTGCGCATGTCTCCAGTCCATTACAATGTAGTACCTATTTGGCCGTCTGCGCATGTCTCCAGTCCATTACAATGTAGTCCCTATTTGGCCGTCTGCGCATGTCTCCAGTCCACTAGTTTGTAAGTTCCCGTCTCTCAGTGACTCCAATCCAATAACTTGCATTTGGTTGTCGCCCCATATCCATTAATTTGCAGCTAACATTATTTCCTTGTTTCCGGTTCGTTAGTATGTGTCTGTCTGATCGCATGTATGTATATCAACAGTTTATAACTTAGTATCTGTTCATGTATCGGTGGTATTCTTCAATGTCCCATGCTGACCGACATTGTGGAGAACAAAATTTGTTTACCTCGATTGCAGCACTTGGGATATATATTTTTATTTTCTCGTTTCTCTACTGTTTCCTGTCCGCGGCCCCTCCCCAGGTACCCGTCTTTACATTACATTGGCAGTTGAGTAGGACGTTAATCCCCATAGTACGACACAAACAAACCATAGTTGTATATAAACTGTATTTTTGTTGTCCTTGCAGTCACGAGGGAAAACCATCCACTGCAGTTTCATCACGTGACTGGAGAGAATATCGACCTTATGGATAAAGAATGCCGGTCAGCCCGACTCAAAGTGGAAAACCCTGCTTCCGTCTGCTGCCTCGCGCGCAGGATCTACCCTGGTCAAGGCCTGATGCTTAAGGTCAATCCATTACAAGAACGAGGCAGGGTTCCAAGCAGATTTCACCTTACGCTGGGAATGTCTACTTTAAAACCCGAGGAGCTCCGAGTTGGCGACCCGGAGTCGTTTTCCGTTTGTGAGAAGGTAAAGAAACCGAAACGATGGCGGCATATGAAACGTTTTGAGGACGAGATCGAGGACGGGAAGCGCCGCAATCGGTGTACAGGATACCTCCAGGTGATGGTGACCCCGGAGGGCGAGGTCAAGTACGCACATTCCTCAGACGTGTACGGTCACGTGACAGTGCCGAGAAGCAAACTTGAGTCCGGTGTGTTAATTGTATTTGAACTGTTCCGTGTGACACTTGACATCACAAAGACGTTTGACCTACAAGTGTATGACTATGCTGATATCAACTTTGGACAGTTCGAGAAACGCAAGGCAAGTCTTAAACAATCTGTGCATAAACACGATACCGGTTATGTGGAGTTCCAACCCAAATATAGAGACCTGGTGACAAAAATGCCATCAAACGCTTCGTGAAACCGGAAGTGCTATGTTTGCTTTGATATGTAAATATTTTAGACGATGTTACGTTGAATGTTATTAATTTATTTTCTGATTTATAACTGTCGTCTCGGAGACGAGTTAATTCGCTGACCTACATTTGTTGAACCCGCATTTCCTTTTTCTTTCGCTGACTGATATTTGACCTACATTTGTTAGCCTATATTTGTCAGACCTATATTTGCCGACCATATTTACTTGTTTGTGTTTATGTGAATCAGATTTGTTTGACCTGCATTTGTCTGGCCGTTATATGTTGATGTGTGTACAGTTTTTGTATTTGTCTGTTATTTCAAATGTCCTGTATTTGTTGTAATATGTTTTGTACAGTTTTTGTATTTATCTGTTATTTCAAATGTCCTGTATTTGTTGTTATTTGTTTTGTACAGTTTTTGTATCTGTTTGGTATTTTTTTGTCAAACTGTGTACTGCCTGTGTTGAAATGTGCGGGAAAGAAGTATATACAAATATGTTGATTATTCACAATGTGGTCGATTTGTGCCAAACAGGAATAAAATATTCTAACGCAGGTACGATTTTCTTGCCTTCAATCAATCACAGGATCCCGTTACAAATGTCTGAAATACACATATGATATACTGATGCGGGTCGCAACACACATATATGTTTATGTGTGTTGTGACCCGTATCAGTATAGCATATGTGTATTTCAGACATTTGTAACGTGACCCTGTGAATCAATATATATAAAAATGCATGAATTATTTATCAGGAAGATTATACCAGGGCCCAGTTGTTCAAAAGGTGGTTAGGACAATCACTGTATAACGACATGTTTCAACCTTTGATGATTCTGTCAACACACAAGGTACAATCTCACAATTTTGCATGTTAATTCACTCTATTTAATGTTTGGTATCTGGACAGTTGCAACCAGTTTAATGGTTGTGTGTTAAAGATGCACAAAAAATAGCATGAGCAACTGGGCCCAGGATGACGTCATCCAAACAGGGGTATTAATATACCATGATGACGTCATTTGAACAGGGATATTAGTATACGAGAATAAAAACATGTATGTAATGGTACGAGATAGTCATAGAAGAGATATTTATAAACAAATGTGATGTCGGTAGATAGACCGCGCGTTCCTATATCGGGTTCGTACCAGTTTGAGAGAGATGTATCACGGAAACAAAAAGCGGAAAACACAAAACTGTTTCAGTTTAATTTCCGTCCCCTTGCAGATTTCCAACATTAGTCATAACAATTGTACAAAAAATACAGTTGGACAATGGCCTGAAGGTTATATAAAAAATAAAAAAATAAATGTGTTCCACATTGGCTCGATGTTGCAATTGCTGTCAATCAAGATTAGCTATATTATTGATAATCAGACCGATGATCCCGGGATCTGCTTGCATGGTAAAATTAAATTACCTTAGCTGTTAATAGGACGTTAAATCTTATAAAACTAAACAAACAAAACTCAAACCACACCTGTTTAGATGGTACAGCCTTGTATAGCCCCTTGTTGCTCATGCAGGAGAGTTATTTTATTTTGTCCCCCTTCTAATTTGTAACACTCTTTATGATTGGATATCTTGCCGGGGTCTATATTTCTATGGACCCCGTTCTGCCGGGGTCTATAAAAGCACGTGCAAGGGGGAGATAACTCAAACTAGAATATCTCTTCACGACAACAAAGATGGCGTACGACACACACAGGCATTCGAGGTTTGCCAATCATTCACAAAATGAAATACTCTACAAGTAATATAAAACGACAGCAACTTCAACAAAACAGCAATGAGTAGGTCGCTAGGGTGCTAATTACAAAGATAGTTGTAAATAGTCCGAAATATTGCCGAAAAGTAGTGGCTATTTTTAGTAGCTGTCAAGCATAAGTCAAACTCACAAAGTGACTTAAAATTTGGCCAAAAAAAAGTAATTAAAGATTGTCAGGGTGGCAAATTCGTTATATCTGGGTTAAGATGGGGTCTATGGGCTCATATACCCCGTCTAGTTTGTATAGACCCTGAGCCGAAAAGCTCGGGGTCTATAAAAACCAGACGGGGTCTATGAGCCGGTAGACCCCTCCTAACCCAGAGATAACTAATAATACGATACATTTCCCTGTGTTATATTGTCGTTCAATAGTAACGCTAAAGCACGTGTACAATAAACATGCAAATTAGCCTTGTCACCATGGGAATGAGGTCATACTCATCCGCACTACATGTACATACTACAACTGCTATGCTTGTAAACAAAACGGTTGACCGACGGATTGTTTTATATGAAATTAATTAGCTTTTTCAATAAATTAAACATTACATGAAAACTCTATATATGTGTGTTTTTTGACATATGAAAAACTTTAAAAACTTGTACATATTTACATCAATATTTTGGTAAAAAGAAGGTCAATGTTAACGTGATTTGGGACTATTATAACAAAGCAGATAATTAAAATGCACAGCGTCCACGACATATAAATGTATTATACTTTCCACGCGCTCTCTATACGTCTTCAAGTTAGGTGTCAATATATGTGTCAAACTAATATACGTGTAGTGTAGAAAGGGGAAGCAACTCTGTATAAGCACGCACTCTTTGACTATAGTCCAAACTCTAGCATTACATGTGCCTCAGACATACATGTATGTGTGTATGCACATAAGGGGCATAACTCCTACTAAACACTATCACTATAAATTACAATTTACTGAATTTATCAAGGATATATACAAATACTGTAAAACAAAGTTAGTTCCTTCCTCACTTTTATTAGGAAATAACCCAAATGTTAGATATGCACACGTACGTTATCGTGAGCTATTGGACAGAGAGTACATTTAGTAATTATAAAGATTATATCAGACTTAAAACCAGACCTACAATGTACCTGTGTACGGCCCAGAGCCATACAAATGTTGCTCATACACATATATCTAACGTCACTCTGACCTTCATAGAATGTTTTATCAAAATCTAGATATTATAGGACCCTTCCTAGCTGACACATCTCATTTTTTTGCATATATTGAAGTGGAGTGTGTCAGAGCATTGTGTTACATCTCCAACGAGGAGCAAGTTATAACAACTTATATTAATCACTCCTGTTTGNGGGGGGGTAACATTTTCTATGGTAAAAAAAATATGGTTGCGTTATTGCTTGCCTGCAACATTACATGGAAATTTAAAAAAAGGATCCCTGAAAGGGGAGCAAGCTACACTTATCTTTGTACGAATACAGCGGTAAAATTATGAAAAGGAGAGAAGATGAAACATGAACTCGTTTCAAGGTCTTTTATCACCTTTAAATCTCTAGTCCCTTTTTACATAACTTTCATTAATACAATCTCTTAATATCAAAAGTAGAGGGGTATTCTACCTTAATAACTCTCATCCCTTTTAACAATCTCTTCTGTATGGTCGGGTGGCGTAGTGGAATGCGCACTGGCCTTTCACATACACGGCTCGAATCCCCGAGCGGACGTTGAAAGGTATGAGGGTATCCTGCCCAATCACGTGGGTTTTCTTACAGGACTCCGGTTTTCTCCTATATTCTATTTCTATCACAAAGAAATCCAATAATTAAATGGAATACAGGAGTTATTTTTTGAATTGATTGAATCCGCATTCCGTCATAAATCACACCTGTGTCCAGGTAAAATGAAATAACAGAATGACCATACCAAAATATTCTTGCTTAACTGACCAACAAAAAGTTGCAGAACTAGAACATCACCAGATAAATCACACCATAAGATACGGATCTCAAAGATCATTCGACTGAGTTGGTGTGTTGGTTGTAAAGACTTAACGTCCCATCAACATGACTCGCTGTGCGATGAGTATGTGTGTATATCTGCTGGAGGGGGTGGTATGTTGGCGTATTTGCCTTCTTATGATAGGCGACTGAGTCAAACAATCTTTTTACAGATAACACAAAATATAACCAGGGATGAACACGGTAGCCACATGGTGATAGGGCCACCCAAAGATCGCCTTTGATAAATAAATTTTATTTTACAATAATTTGTATACAGGTTCATGTTTTATAAAGCTATATCATTTACTCATGTTTGGCCCGGATGGTAGTTATGTTTCAGTAAAGTATCTAAAGCTGGACAAGGGACTGAACTGTGACGTACACTCCTCACGGTCTCATTACTCTGATAACGAGCGTACTAGAGGCTCAATATCCAACAGACAATGTGTTGCAATAGAGAATGTCAAACACTTTGAGCAACTACCTCGGATGAACAGGAGGACTTTTGGTAGGTCGATAGTGAGTCGCACTGCATGAATGTGTCACACTTGTGACGTCGCGGGGAATCGCCGGAAGTGCCTGGTATGCTGATTAGATTTCGCCAAGCAAGTACAAAGCGTAACTTCAGGCTGGTTTTTGAAGTTCTGTGGTTATAATAATGTTACCCAATTTGGCCTTAAATTGAAACACAGAGGAAAACCATCGCTTCTGAAGGAGCCCACATCGGTCACCATCTGAGATAATACAGCAGAACTTCAGATGGTTGCACACTACAATGATTTGTCAAGGGGACCGGGGGTTCCAGGGCTTCAGGAACCCATATCCCAAGCATGTCACTTTCCTTTTAAAAGTATGGTGTTTTTACTTCCTCAGGACATGTTTACTGAGTACCACGTGACCAGTCAAATCATCAGTACTACGTCACAAATACAGCGGCGATAAAATGTAGTTACTCTATGATATGTGTTATGCTGTGTGAAATGGCGAGAACTCAAACCCATGAGGAAACGAAAATGTAGACATCGTGAGTGAGCGACAAAATTGGATTATGTATTTATCTTTTAACCTTTTATTTATCAAAGACGGTCATTAGATGGCCCTGTTCCCGTAGATACTGTCCATATATGACCTTGGCCTCATGAAATAGCAGGAACTAAACACCCTGAACAAACGAAAACTGGATGCCATAAATGACGTATATGGTTACCTGACTGTGTCAAAGCGACATATGTGTATTATATATTAACATTTAAACATTTTATTTTTCAAAGACGGTCATTGGGTGGCCCTATTTCCCCTGGATACCGTCTTCATGTGACCCTGACCTCGTGAAACAAACGAAAAATGGATGTCGTGAGTGATGAGTAGAGGTTCCCGGACTGTATCAGATCGACTCATCTGTATTATATAATATTTTAAACTGTTATTTTTAAAAGACGGCCATCGGGGTGGCACTGTCATCGTTTGATAGTGTTCTCATATAACTCTGGCTGTGTGAAATAACGAAAAATGGATGTCGTGAGTTTTGTGTAGAGGTTCCCGGACTGACTGTATCAGGGCGACATATGTGTAATTTGTATTTGATATTTAAACATTCCATTTATTAAAGACGGTCATTGGGTGGCACTTATCCTCGTGGATACCGACTTCATACATGTATGACCCCGGCTGTATGAAATACATTGAACAAACGAAAAATAGATGTCGTGAGTTTCATGTAGAAGTTCCCGGACTGCATCAAAGCGAGAAATGTTTATCATATTTAATATTTTAACATTTAGTTATTAAAGACGGTTATTTAGTAGCCCTATCATCGTTTGATACTGTTCTCATATGACCCCGGCCTGGTGAAATAGCGAATTATCAAAACCCTTTAACAAACGCAAAATGGATGACATGATATATAGGGGTTCCGAAACTGTATCAAAGCGTCATAGGTGTATTATTTATTAAATATTTTAATATTCTATTTATAAAAGACGGTCATTGGATGGTCATATTCCTCGTGGATGTGTGAAATACACTGAACAAACGAAACATGGATGTCGTGATGTATAGGGGGCTCCCGGTCTGTATCAAGGCGATATGTGTATCACATATAACACGTATCTAGGTGTTAATGTAAACCAGACGTGGACATCAAGTACACGGCACCAGATCACGTCATTACTTCTCATACACCTACAGTAGCTAATTACACTGACCTCAATACAGTGGTCATCGGGTCATCTCGGACAATACATGTAAAACCTTGAACGGGTCACTCAAGTAGCGCGTAGAATTTTATAATAGATATTTTCCTTGTTTATCATAAAAAAAGTTATTCTCACAGAATTTATCACGGAGCAGTACAATCGTAAGTTTAATTTGGCGGGTAGCGGAACGTGTGTCGTCTGCTCTGTACCAAATTAGGCGGGAGTATGTGTGTTCGTTAGTATGTGAGGGAACGCTGAGTATAGGGGATCTCGTGGAGGCATGGAGACTGCATAGTTACTGCAATATTTGTAAGTACTTTATCATTTGTTACTCTGTCAATCCATTAACATTGTTTAACATTTCATTTTTTAAATGTTTAAGTTTGCACAAATGTTTAAATCGCTATTTAAATCCATATGCCATCTATTGTTTACCGATCTTTATATCCTGAAATTGTCTAACACTCGAGTCTTTTATTATCAACAGCAAAGTAAACAATTCTCACAGAAATCGGTATAAAGTGAAAAAGAAGTAAATATTTTCAGTTGTAAAACCAGTCTTTCCTGCAGCACATAAAAACTAAATATGATTTAAATGTGCTCCGATGGATTTTTTTGTTTCATGTTTGTGTATCCAAATTTCTGAATGTTACAATAACCCTATCGTTATACTATACTTGTAAAATTACAGCACATCTCCCGGCATGCTTTCCTTCTTAAAGAATTAGATCGTGTGGGATGCAGATATCAGTTCATTTATCGACTCATTTCAAATTCCGGTATTACCGACTCTTTTTAAATCTCGGTATTACCGACTCATTTCAAGTCCTAGTATTACCGACACATTTGAAATCCCGGAATTACCGTCTCATTTCAAATCCCGGTATAACTTACTCATTTTAAATGCCGGTATTATCGACTCATTTCAAATCCTGGTATTACCGACTCATTTTAAATCCCGGTATTATCGACTCATTTCAAATCCCGGTATTACCGAATTGTTTTAAATCCCGGTATTACCGTCTCATTTTAAATCCCGGTATTACCGACTCATTTGAAATCCCGGTATTATCGACTCATTTGGAATCCCGGTATTACCGTCTCATTTTAAATCCCGGTATTACAGACTCATTTAAAATCCCGGTATTACCGTCTCATTTAAAATTCCGGTATTATCGACACATTTAAAATCCCGGTATTACCGACTCATTTAAAATTCCGGTATTATCGACACATTTAAAATCATGGTATTACCGACCCGTTTTAAATCCCGGTATTACAGACTCATTTTAAACCCCAATATAACCTACTCATTTGGAATCTCGGTATTATCGACTCATTTTAAATCCCGGTATTACCGACTCATTTGGAATCCCGGTATTAGCGACTCATTCGGAATCCCAGTATTACCGACTCATTCATTTTAAATCCCGGTATTACCGACTCATTTGGAATCCCGGTATTACCGACACATTTTAAATCCCGGTATTACCGACTTATTTTAAATCCCGGTATTACTGACTCATTTTAAATCCCGGTAGTATCGACTCGCTTTCAATACCAGTATTACCGACTCATCTGAAATGCCGGTATTACCGACTCATTCGGAATCCCAGTATTACCGACTCATTCGGAATCCCAGTATTACCGACTCATTTTGAATCCCGGTATTACCGACTCATTTTGAATCCCAGTATTACAGGCTCATTGAGAATCCCAGTATTACAGACTCATTCGGAATCCCAGTAATACAGACTCATTTGGAATCCCGGTATTACCGACTCATTTGAAATCCCGGTATTACCGACTCATTTGAAATCCCGGTATTACCGACTCATTTGAAATCCTGGTATTACAGACTCATTTGGAATCCCAGTCTATTGCAGACTCATTTGGAATCCCAGTCTATTACAGACTCATTTGGAATCCCAGTATTACATAATTATTCAGTATCCCAGTATAACATACTAATTTGGAGTCCAAGTATTACCGACACATTTTGAATCTGAGTAATACTGACTCATTTTTAATCTCGGTATTACCGACCCGTTTGAAATCCCGGTATTACCGACTCGTTTGAAATCCCGTAATTACCGACTCATTTGGAATCCCGGTATTACCGACACATTTTAAATCCCGTTATTACCGACACATTTTAAATCCCGTTATTACCGACTCATTTAAAATCCCGGTATTACCGTCACATTTTAAATTCCGGAGTTATTCTTTTCTTTTTTTCCATTTTCTTAATGTTTGAAAATGTTTTTACGTCAATTGTTACATTAAGATACACAGAAGCAGTTGAAATGACGATTAACGCTAGTTAGTGAAAACAACGGTAATGTCAGTTAACACAAAGGGGGATTTTTTTCGGGAACGGTCCAGGAAATGTTCCTGCATTGGAAATAAGTATTAATTGATGGGGTTTTATTTTATGATAAAATTATGTCGATTAAGCTGTATGTCGACTGTAATGACTGAACCCATGGTCACGTGGACATATGGTCACGTGGACAGCTTGTGATTGTTAATGTTTACGTGCCATACAAAATATGTGTTTGTCTTTTTAGAGAAACATACCATTTTCAAGCAATGCGAGGTTGGATTTTTATTCCGAATCTTTCCTGACTCTAAAATATTCCAAAATGTATAACGTTATGCAAGTATATCGATCTTTTATAGCCCAATATTTCCCATAATAGCAAAGTATCCCGTTCAGGCAACAAGAACCTACGCGACCTTGATAAAAGTTTGCGTTCTGTTTATAGATCCACGTGCTAGAAATGTTAACTTGTAAACAGACACAAAAAACTACATTGTACCTTTTTATAAAAATTACTGGAAGTGATGATTAGGTATCAAATGCATAGATATTTGACTAAAACTTTCCCGTTTAGTGTATATTAACGGTAGACATTAATAAATGATGTCAAGTATTTTGACGATTGTTCTCTTCCCAGCTTCAAAAGTCCGTGTACGTTATCTCAGCTTAGGAAGTCAGAGTACGATCCCTGTGTTACTTCTGTTTTCTTAAGTCAAATATTTTCTTTGGTTCACTGCAATCTTGTTTTTTTTCTATATAAATACTCGTAACCTGGTTTTTAACAACAGCAGCAGGAAGATGTGTAGACTGTAACAACTAGTCGGTGTGTTGTTAGCGAGAGATGACGTGATATTAACACTGCAAAGTGTGTCAGATCCTCTGTCTGTGTAACGAAACACATTTTATTAATTAAATAGTCCCAGCCTACTTTATTTACTTTCATTATAGCGAAAATGATGAAAGGAATTCTCTGAAGATAATTTTGGATTAAATTTGTTTTGTGGCAACCAATATTATTCCCCGGGATGGCTCTATAGATGGTGGGAACCAATGTTGTATGCGGGTTTACTTGGTAAACAGCAAGATGACTCGGTAGACAATGAGATGCCTACAAAACGCAGCGATGATTTGGTAGACGATTGGATGATTTGGTAGACGATTGGATGATTTGGTAGACGATTGGATGACTTGGAAACTGAAATGTGACTTGGTAGATGATCAGTTAGATGACTTGGTAGACGGTGAAATAATTTTGGAGATGATCTATTGACATGGAGGATAATCAGATGTTATTGAGGATGATAAGATGATTTTGCAGATAATCAGATGACTTGATAGATGATATAATGACTTGGTAGATGATCAGATGACTTGGTAGATGATTTGGTAGATGATCAGATGATTTGGTAGATGATCAGATGACTTGGTACATGATCAGATGATTTGGTAGACGATCATATAATTTGGTAGATGATCAGATGATTCTGTGAAATATCAGATGGTTTAGCAGTTGATTAGTTAGATGATCTGAAGAAATATTCTATATTTCCGTATTCATAGGTGGTACGTGTATTGTCATTGACACACCCTGGTTCTCTCGCAAACATACATTTTGTAATTAGGTTCAGTTTCCCTATATTTCCTGAGCTTCCCACACATTTCCTCCAATATGCCTGCGTTTCTCTATCTGTAACATGTACACAAATAAAAGTTTTATAATACACGTGTTTCCCACATGCGTGAGGGCTATCTGTAATGTTATGAAAGTGCAAGTGCTCAAAACTGAAAACTCCACAGCAATGTAGGTCTTCCAGCTGACACTTGACCCCTGGCCTTGTATTTTTAGCGAGAACGACCGTCTAATTTACTGTGACTCATCAAAACAGTCTATTTTCAGGTTTTTAAAACTGTAAATGTTCAATTTCGAATCTGGAATGTTTTCAAAACACGGCGCGGCCTTTCATTACAACAGGAAGACGATGTGAGTTCGGTTGTACTGATACTGTACAGAGATCTCATAGAGAAACTCTTAAGGATCCCGTACCCTCTGCCAAACACTGTAACTAAAATTTAAAAACTTTTAAAATCAATATGGCAAGTTTTTTAAACAAATCCAACTGTATGCCTTGCGGAACTTTTTTGATACGAAAACAAAATAAAATAAAATTGAAATATTAAAAAAATAGAATAAACAAAAGTCTTTTGAGAGTTAAATGCAACGAGGCAAGACCGGGGTCTCTGTTCATGAAACCGTTTTCATGCTCAGATATATAATAGGTTATTGTCACACCTTTAGCGTGTATTCTATGTTCAAACCAACTACCTCTTAACTCGCGTAAATCATGTGAAACGGTCCACAGAAAAAGGAAATATTGAAAAGAAATTGGGCTTTAATACATTTGAAAACTTTTTCAAAATGATCGACAAAATGTGAATGTCTTCTAATTAATCACCGGAACAAGAAATTGGGTCTCATCACTGAATCTGAGTTTGAGCATGAAAACGGTTTTATGAATGCTCACAACGCGATCGCTTTCAACAGCGTTAACGGAACTGGTTGACCCGCGATAGTCTCATGAACCAGTCACACTGCGGTTATATCGAACGCGAAATTAATGGGAGATTACTGAGTATACGAAAAACAACAATGGAACTCTCTAGTGTTTCGTCTGCAGTGGAACGGGAGTCTTTAAATAAGGACTTCTTGATGTAAGTATATGTTAGATCCACCTTTTCAAGGTGGGTTTTTTTGTGGTAATGCGCCGTATCTATAATTACAAACAGATCATCGACCGCGACACTCTAGCCTTTACCTTACTGTTTTAGATATAACACTTATTAAGGTTCCCTGACCCACCCCAAGCAAACATTAGAGAGTTCCATTGTAGTTTTTCATCCAAAAGGTAACCTGCCCTTAATTTGTTTTAGATATTGTTGGAATGTTGTTTCTAACCCCTAAACACATGGGTGATAATACAAAGTTACT